GAACGAAAGAGAAGTCGAAGAGATTTCGGGGTTCGTGCGATTCGTTATTCAAAAATCTCGTTGAAATTCGAACTTTACGGGTGTCGCGAGGCAACGCTTCCGGCATACGTCTAATCCCAATTAAAAATCATTTTATCACCGGCTCCTCCCGCGGGCTGCTCGGTTTCCGGCGAACGAAAGTTAACTTGGGCAAATTATATTTTCCGGTCGAGCGGAACGGAAGAAAAGAGAGGCGGAGAGGGTGGGTCGACGGCCTAGGGACGGAACGAAACGCGTGGTAGGGCGGGGGGGGGGGGACAAAACGGAAGAGGCAAAAGAGAGAAATGTGGTGCCGCAGTGGCGACGCCGTCTGCAATTACAATGCCTTAATTTTATGCGCGAAGTTAAGCTCCTTTTAAGAGTCCCGAGAGTGGTTGAGTCCCCTTCGTGGCCCTGTCTCCGCGCCCCCTCCCCTCCCGCTTCGGGTTTTCACCTTCTCGGTGGAACACTCGTTTCACCGACACTAGCGTATTCATGGGAAACGTTCTTTTGCCCTGGGACACGGCCGGGATCTCCCGACGAGTCGCTGCAATTATTTTAATTTGTTTAGGGACCATTCTCTCCTATCTCCAACTTTTCCCGCCTTCCTTCGCCCGGATACTTTCCACGCGGCCATTTTACCCTCTCCCATTCGTTCACTCTCGATTCCACATTCTTTCTCTCGGACGATATTAACCCCCCCCCCGTCCCCCTTTCTTCGCCTGTCCGCATTTATTCCGTCGCCTCTGAACGTGCTCTCTGCAAAAACTTTACCGGGATCCGTTTGACGCTTCTGGAAAATTTTATCACATTGTATTATCTTTTCAGAAGGGACAACCTCGTACAAATGTAAATTGAAATAGTAGAATAAAATTTATTCTTCGTTAACGAGATAATTGCGTTCGAAGGTATGTCCGACCACAGCTCGCTGTTTCTACTTGCACCGCTGACCAAATCAAACTCGATTAAATATTGCAAAACTGAAACCACTTGTATTACGTTTTATAAATTGCGCTCGAGCAACTTTAATCTTCGTTCCCCGCGGATTCGACCGGGGCATTACGCGTTCGCGACATTTTCTTCCCCGAAGCAACCAGAATTGCCGTCGTTTCTCCCCCAGGACCCGTAAATTGCACTTGTCTCGTACATTCCATAATTTTTCTTGTATCTCGACACGCGTTGCAATCGGACAGAGTCCAGAGAGGAACGTCTACGACAGAACCAATTATCTGTCATCTCGTTCTAATCGCATTTTCGCCTTTCCTCGCCTCCGCTTCGATCACCCGTTTTCCCTTACGCTTACCGCCCACTCTCTGTAGAAGTCTTCCCAACGTTTTTCCACTTTCCTTGTCTCTACCCTATCGTATTTTCTCGGAGGGTGTGTCCTCGGCGGTGATTTCCAGCTGAAACGACCGTGTCGAAGATACTTCGTTTTTCTGTTCCACGGCGAACATTCGCTCATCTCCTAATAATGGCTACGAATATTTATTCGAATCTCTTGTGCTCTCTATTATTTTTCCTGCTATATTAACGGTGTTCGGTAATCAGTTCTGGTAATCAGTGTAGGTTGAGTAAAGTCTAATAATGAAAATGAAAATGATGCTTTGTCTAATTCTACTTCCATGGATTTCCATCGTCCGTTTCACGAACTCCCTTTTCATCCAAACAACTCGAAAGACTTTGACTCAACTTCAAAGGTATATCAACGCGACCAAAGCTTCGTCGGATTTTCGAGCTGGTTTTACTCGCATACGTGGAACAACCACCGCACGCACACATCTACAATTCGGTTTTACGCGCCACAGATTCACAATGTGGCACGCTTATTACCCCGATAAATTTCTCGAAAGCTTTCCGAACGCTAGATCATGACCTGTCGGTGCAAAAAATGATGTAATCTCGGCTTTTCATCGCATGCTTTATCACAGGTATGTGCACAACGCATCCAACGAGTCAAAGTTTACGTCGTCTACGTGTCTTAACAGAGCCCTTATCGGTTAATATCAATATTGCCGATCTTCTCCGCCTTTGTAATCACTCCTCTGTCCATTTGAATACCGATGACATGCAAGTTCTGCACATGTCGTAACTGTCCGAAATCACTGTTCAGATGCGGGACGTGAAATTGAATCTTGACAAGATACGATGCTGGTTCTCAGAGAGCAAGCATAATCCAGGAAAGACCAAGTTACAAACCGTCGTTTCGAAGATCAAAGCTGGTCTACGCGCTTCTTTCGACGCAAATATTCTTGGTATCGATAGAAGAAAACATTGCATTGTTATCTTTTATAGGAAACTCGTAACATTATATTTATGACACGCACTCTGTATTCGTCTCTTCGTCTTCCATCCTCGGAAACACCTGCTGTAATCTTCCCGCTTGACTATTGTGATATTATACAGGGTGTTCGGCTACTCTTGGAAAAAATTGTAATGGGAGATTCTAGAAGCCAAAATAGGACGGAAATCAAGAATACCAATTTGTTGATTGAGGCTTCGTTGAAAAGTTATTAAAGTTCCGTCTGATAAAGAATTTTTTTCTCGAAAGTGCGTAGGATTTCGGATGTATGTCTATTCACCAAAAATGATTGTAATTGACCCTCGCAACCGAAAATAATTTTCTCAGAATGATTTGAAATTTTTTAATAACTTTTTAACGAAGCCGCAATCAACAAATTAATATTATTGACTTTCGTCTTATTTTGGCCTCTGGAATCTCCCATGAAATTTTTCCCAGGGTTGACCGAACACCCTGTATATGACCCTTATCTCTCCCCTTGTCTTAACTCCTACGTACAACGTGTTCAAAATTCCTGTCTCCGGTTCATATACAATGGTCATAAATTTGATCGCATCTCTCACCACTTTGTAAACTCCGGCTCAACGCGATGCAACAATAGATCTTCCACCTTTGTTGCCTTATCTGCAAGATTCTTAACGCCCGTTATCCTTCGTAGCTTGCAAATCTCGACCGTATCGATCTTTCGTATCGCACGAACGCGCGTCTGTTTCTTCCGGTTCGGCAAAACTTTTCAATTTTAGGCGTTTCACGATCCCCCTTTCTCGATACTAAAACTATCTCTCGAAATTTATAATCTATCCTCTGTTCCATGATGGTAGGCATGATCGATAAAGAAAAGTTCCCCGTCGAGAGAAAAAGAGTCGAAAGTTTTATCGCAGTTCCCGCTACGTCGGACGAAACAAAGATGCGGAAGAAACTCTTGAAATTCATTGAAAAGTATAATCTTGGCTCTGAATATTCGCCGTTGCGAATTTCTCTCGCGATCGCTGTTAGCGTTGACGGTGTTTCGACCAATTCATTAAAATCCGAACGCGTAAAAGTAATTTTTCTAAAAAGTTGGTCGTTCGATTCTGCACGGTCGAATCAGCGTTCGTTCGACGTCGTTCTAACCGCGGCACGGTAATTAAGAGTTTTTCCACGAGTTACGCGATCTCGATGCCTCTTTAATTTCTCGTAAATCAACCGACACGGGAAGTAAACGACCGATGTTATCCGGCAGAGGCGAAAGAGACGAGTCGACAGCGAACGCCGACAAGTCTGTCGAGATCAGATCCCTGCCCCACGGGAAGCCCCAGTCATCGTGCTCGTTAAAAACCAATCCAATTTGTCTTACGGCCGTGGACGAACTGCAGCAAATGAGACTGCACAACTGTCGAAACTTTCGCGGGACGGGCGAACGTCGGACGATCCTTTCGTTGATCGACCGTGCGACGTCTTATCTCTAAAGCACGACCCAAGTTTGTCGCTCGATTAGACTTACGAAGTCATTCTATTGCTGTTCGACCCGATAATCGACGACCCGACGCGAAAACTCGCGACGACCATCCGTCGAAATAACGTCGACAATCCCTTTTCAGTCGCCGGAAAAACGAAAACGCTTATGATCCGCTAAATGTATGAAATCAAGAGACTGTACACAATAGCCGGCGAGCGTACACAATGGCCAAATTAGCTCAGACCTAACTCAAACCTAACCCAAACACGGCCCGTTGTATGTTCATAATTTGAATATTATTCACTCTCTCGCCGGCTAATTTAGCGACTGTGTACACACGACGATGATTGCGCGTAATCACAGACTTTGTACTTTTTCGGTAACGCGTGCGGCGTTACAAATTTCGCGTTGTAGCATGCAAAGTTACTTTAGAAGAATATCGACTGGCTGGACACGTTCGCCCGCCGGCTACGACCGCCCTATTTTCTCCTACCGTCGACACTCGTTCTTTCGTTAATAGAAACGTAGTTCGTTTGTTTCCTCGTTGCCAATGAACCTGTTTTACATCTAATTTCTCGGTCTTTGACTTTATTTCGGCCCGAGAATACTCTTTGCACGTAGTAACTTTGACAATGGTGGTCTTGATACCGAACTACGGCGAACAATAAATTATTTTCTGCGAGGGATTTTCCGTTTAAAGAGAATTGAGTGACGCTAACGGTCGAAGTGCGTTGCAAACATCGTCGACGGAACGTTTGTCCGTTTGAAAGGTTGTTACGAAGTTCGTGTCTTGGGTCGCGGACAACGAGACCAAATCCTCCCCTTCGGGCATTCGAGTGTCCCCTTGCCCCAACTCTCTGATACATCTTCTAATGCTATCTCGAATAGCTAGATCTCCGAAGTAAAAGGTTATCTGACTCTCTCGGTCGAGTGCACTTCTGTCGGTCTGTATTGAGTTTCAAGCCCGGGACTCGGGGGCTGAGCAAACTCCTCCGTCCGGATCTCCGGACTATGACGAATTGCGAAAGTTGAGTGAAAAATTGAATGGGGTTACGTAAGTCCGGCTCCGATCCACGCGTAAAAGTGTACGCGCGCGCTCGTGTGTGTGTACGCTCGAACGGCCGCATCATTCTCTCATCGTTCGACCGTCTTCGATTTTTATTTCGTCGGTAAATTAATCTTCGTCGACGCGGAGCAGCGCGAGCTCCGAAACCGATGACCGATCCGTTCCCGTTGTTTTTCCAGCTACGACGCGAGGAATCGACCGTTCGCCAAAGCGAAAGTATGGAGCGCCGAGACCTTCTGGGGCGACAGGGCGTCTTTCAAAGCGAGCCCACCCGCCCAGCTGACGATTCGAGACCTGCAGAAGAGCGACGAGGGCGTGTTCCGGTGCAGAGTCGATTTTCGCAACTCTCCGACCAGGAATTTCAAGGTCAACTTCACCGTTATCGGTAAGTCTAGCCCCCCCCGAAAACTTCCATCGTTCGACTCGCTCGAAGATAGCCCGATATCGTATCGGACGAACTCCGGATCGAGATACCGCTCGAAAACTAAGACGAAGCGGAGGAGACAATCCTGAAACTGTGCCACGTAACTATGGAAATTTTAAAACGCTGCCCTCGACTCTCCCCCGCCCCCCTCACCCAACCCCCCTCCCTGCTGCGTCAACTTCCTCCTTCTCGGGCGAAGTTCGACAGTTCCGCCGCGAAACTACTTGGAAACTGATCAGAGTCTCTGGAAATTGCGGCACTTGGATGGATCGCGGGGAATCGGGAGCACGGCGGAAATCGCCACGACGATCGATGGTCAGTTTGAAGCGGGATCGTTAATTGAGAAACAGCCGACCGCTCGGACAACCGGCCGTCCAACGAAACGGAGTATTCACAAACGATTCTGTCTCGAGAGCTGCACGATTTGCGGTCGATTAGTCCCCGCACCGACTCCTCGTTCCTTCGAAATGCCCGGCCCGGTGTCCCCTTTGCGTGCCACTCGAATAATTACGCTCGAACTTCGTCCGTCGATCAAGGTTAATCAGGTTCGTGGCAACTCGACCCCGATTCGCCTCTACGAAGGATTGATATCCGGATCGTTCGTTAACCGATCCAAGGATTCGTATTAAAAGAACGGTGTTTGTGTAAACGAGGATCGAATGTTCACCCTTGTCCCTCATTTTCGCGAGTGGCGAGCGATTTCAAAAGCGGCTTTTGAAACTCCCGACGGGAAAAGGCCCTTTGGCGGAATCATCGGCTGATTACAGGAAAAAACGGGAACAAAGGCTGGCCGCGCGGGCGTAAGTTAGCTACGCGGCGTATCAGCTTTCGCCCCGAAGGGCGAAACTCTTCGTCGGACAGCCCGGCGCCGGAAAGTCTAAGACGGGCCCCGAGGACGTTGCTCTTGTCTCCTAATAGAATCGAACCGGTATCGTGGGCGCTATTTAAGGAGTACGCGCTTCGTGCTTTGAAACCGGCCAGAAGCCCAAAGTCCTTTCAGGAAACCCCTAACCCAATTTGCTCATCGATCGGCTATTAAACTGAGTTAAAGAGCCGACTACCGATTCCGCTCGACGGAGTACGGAGTGGAAACTTCAAGACGTTCCGAAAATCTGCCGAGACGTGGTACGAGAACAAAGGAAGCCCGTGTGCCCCGTGCAATGTCAGCTAGTCCGCGCGCGGATTCTTTCGCAAACTTTGTCGCGGAGTCTGCGTCGGTTTGCTCGCCACAATTCACCCCGAAACGAATCCTTTATCCTCTCGATTTTCAATTCTTAGACTTTGCGCGAAATGGAGACATCGAGGGAGACTATCGAGTTTAAAACTTAACCCGATACAGGATCGAAGGACAGCGTTCTCTAGAAGGGAACTAATCGAATAGGCGACGCAGCTTCTAGTCGTAAGGGCATCGACGTCGGGACGTCGCGGTGGCTCGTTTTACGCCTCGACGCGCGCGAACGCCGCTCGAGATCGGTACACCAAGCTAATCCCGAATTGCATCGAGTACCGATAGAAAGACCGTGGATGGAACAATGGGGGAAACGTATCGGAGAAACGGCAAAAGAAGTTCCCCGTTATGCATTCGTTTCTCAGACGAATCGAAACGATCTCGATAGAGCTAAAAGGACGTTAGAGTTCTCGTTCGTGGGATCCACCCTCTTCTCGTCTTACGTATTTGCTAACCCCGTCGAGCAGACGACGATACTTTTTCCATTAATCCTTTCCGCGACAAAGTCAAATTATGAGATACGTTTCGAAAAAGATCTATTCGACGTTTTCAATTGCGTCCGTGATGGGCATTGAGACGAAATATCCTTTATTCGTGCTCTTAATAATACGATAAGTTGCATGATATAAATAATGAAATATTTATTAAAAAACTTCTCGTTCTTGTTCTTGTACGGTAAATATCACGGATAATTACGTTTCACGTTGCGTTTGTTCGTAATTTACTGCGCATAGTTCCTGCATATTATTAATTTTAAAGGGTTTTTTGTACGTAAAAAGACTCGGACAACCCGTCGGCCAAAAGGTTGTAATAAACTTGTATTAATATACCAGGAGTTGGTCGATGCACGCACGCGTAGCATTGTGTCAGAGTTTCGGAGCGACTGGGAGCGCCTCGCGCAGCTAATTAAATTTGCGTGTATAGTTGGACAAAAATAAATGATAATTGCTCCGTGCACGAGCAACTTTATTCAAGTACTATGCTAAAAATTAGTTATACGAGCGAGCGTGGGTGCCGGTGCCTCATTATTATTAAATCTCAAAGACACGATCGTTCCGTCCGGGGCGAACATTTTAAGCGCGCATCAAACGAAATATATTTTGTAGCGAATATGGGGACGGAAAAAAAAATTCTAAATCGAAAAGAACCGTCCACGGTGGATCGAATGCCTCGACGGAGACGCTGTCGGACAAATAATAAAGCTCTTCCCTTTTTGTTGCCGTCCGTCGTGTCGCTCTTAGGAGTTAATCCCGAGTGTGTTTGTTCTTCCTCTGATTTTCCTCTCGCATATAGCAGAACCATGAGACGCCGGAGTCTCTCGGGTTCTTGGGCAGAGCCGGAGAACCGTCGCTACTTGGAGGAGGTCGAGCCGCGTCGGAAACTTGGAGCGAAAGCTGGCGAGGCGTCGAGTCGGTGAACGTTAATCCGATTAGGATTTAGTTTAGATTTTGACAGGGTACTGCCCATCCTCCGGAACGCTTCTGGGACGTCTAATCGCCGATTACGGAGAAATTAATTCCGTCTTATCCAGCTTTCCACTCGGCCCCCATTCGTCGTATATCGGTCTATCTATCGCGCCCGCCTACCGTCTTAAATATCTGCCTGGCAATTTATCTATTCGTTTGCCCGACCAAACGCCACGCCCTTTATTATCTAACGTTATTAGTTCCCGGCTAACGATCCCCTATCTATTCGTTTACGCTCCAAACTTTTCGCATCGTTGCGAACCGGGATACCCGGGCGATTATGCGCTTATCGAACGATCGCCGTGCTTGCACCTCGGGGCCCTTTCCCCGTTGACAAGAATTCCACCTCGTTACCAAAGTATTCCAGAAAATACTGTGCACTTTAATTACTTCGCCTCGCGCCATTTTTTCACTCTCTATGAAACGCTCCTCGTACCGTCTGCGTATCGTTATAATTACGATATCTCGCGCAGTTGCAGCTAGAATTATCGCCTGATGCTCTCGAAATGCATCCCTGTACCGCGCTCTCTTCCACGCAAAACCTCATAGATTCACGGTAACTTTGTTCCTTGAAATCGTGTCTCTATGAATCCGAATTCAACGTTTATAACATTTACTTTCTTCCTGGCTCCCTTCCGCCATTTAAACGTTAAACGTACGCGACTTACGTAACATATTCTCCGTCCATTCCGTTCACATCGAATCGTGCGTTTCCATTATTTTACCTTCTTTCCCTATCCTCTCGACTGTAATACATTTTTAGCCAAAGGGTACCTTTCATACGGACGAATTAAATTTAGTTAAATTAAACTTCTGTCTGTCCGATGTTACTGTTACGAGCCGATAAACGGGTCCCGTTTGTTCCTGGTCGCTCGCGTAGAAAATACAGCGCAGGAAATGGTCGGAAAGATACCGAGAATGTTAATGCACGACAATTTTGCAATTACAAGAACGTATTTCGCGTTATTTTCCTGCTGGCTTACGATTTTCTAGCTACTGAAAATTATCAAACTGTTTCGAATTGACATTTTATACCGTAGAACTCATCCAGTTCATAGAGTTTTTCAAACCGTCCGTCAGTCCATTCGTCTACGTTCTAAATTCGATCCGGTCTGCCTATCAGGTGTTGTAATCTGTTTCTAAACGCGTTGCATTAAACCCGCTGAAATCACAAGCCATCGGAGAACGCATTATTCCCAGAAGTAGATGCTTCATGCTGAATATCCGCACTTAAGCCTCTTATCGACGATTACGCATTAGCCCCATCGAACGTAGACTAGATACGTCGAGACCTTTGAGAGGAGTAACGCTCGTCTCTGTATCGTTCGAAGGAAATGCGATTGTCTCCGTTACTAGAATCGTCGTTATCTGTTGCTAGACGCCGTGTGTGCATCTACCATCTCGCGTGGTTCAACGAGGTCCTGCACCGCCGTAGCCGATATCTCGCCGGGAATATCTCCGTACGAGCATCTTACGCGCAATTACTTTGAAACCTGACCGATAACGAAAAGCAGGGAACTCTACCCTATAAAACAAACCGAGCATCGAACAAACTATTCTTTTGGAGAGAGGGAATTATGTACCTTCGGGTGAAACGATCGACGCGAATGTTTCGTGAAAATTAAGTATTCAACGGGGTCAACGATGCGACAAAGTCGTTTCTTCCGTGACTCGCGAGGATGATGCGGAGGAAATTGTGCGTGAAACGCGAGCGTCTGCACACAGAGACGCGGCCATTTTGAAAAGGATACCGCTCGAGGTTCGTCGTTGACGAATTCAATGAGAAAATTCAGGCAAAAACTGCGTTCGAGGTTCTCGAAGGGCACTATTTTGTAAAATTGGGGGAAAGGTTTCTCGTCCCCCGTCGCGCTAGAGCTTTGGCGTCAAAATTGAATCGGTTCCCGGCCAGTAAGACTCTATTTTATAACCCGGAAGGTGGTTCCGGAAGCAGGGGGAAACGGGGAGGAGGGAAGGCGATCGGGATTCGTTCTCGGACGAAATTTACCGCGGCTTAGCAACACCATCCCACGAGCGCAGACCGTCGTGCCCGCTTTTTCCCTGACAGTCTCGCGAATAATTTATCGCGCTACGAATAATGTATCGTCGGCGTAACTTACCCTTATCCCGGGGAATAGTTTCCGGAATAGGTAATGAAAACGCACATTCCGAAAACGTAATATCAACTCGTCCTCTCGGCCTGTTTCGCGTCTCGTCGGGAATTGCCCTAAAAGCGGCCGATCCGCTGTAAAATAAAGCGGAACGAAGAA